AACGCCGATTGAGAAAGTGAAGTATATTTTGGTATTAACAGAATATAAACTTTGGGTAGAAAGTGTACTTAAAGCAAACCTTGGGTAGGAAAAAGTTGTTTACTCTTTTGTTTTCTTCTCAAAGTAGTTGTTTCAAATTAATACAATTCTCTAAAAATTCTTTTTACATGCGGTGAAGTGTTGTTTCGGTGGAATAAGGATTAACTTAGGAAGTTCAGTAAGTTTAAACGTCTTCTTCTATTTTCTCATGCGTTAATCCTAATAGAAATAGGACTTTAATTTTGATTGAATTGTGGCTGATGAGGTTGGTTTTTGCATTAGAGTCTTTGGTAAGGGGTAGAATTGTTTGTCTTAAAAGTGCATGTTAGAACCATTACTTGTATGGTTATTGTTCCACGATTAAAGTTGGTTAGTTTGGTTTTTCAAGGACACGTATTTTCTAGAAACCGGGACATATAACACCATTTCAAAGTCTTTTGATTAACATTACTTATTAATTTGAAACTAAACACCAAGAGCATAAAGATGTAAAACCAAAATTTCAATTGTATTAATTTAAAGCCTTAAGCCTATGTATTCTTAAATTGATTTAGTTGCCCTAAGATGATTGAAAAGCCATAAAAATATTTTTAATCAATCTTTAGAAGGTCTGGATAGTTATAAAGCTTTTCTTATATTTTTCTAAAGCACATCAAATTGTTTTTATTTTCTTTAAGGATGAAATAAAAAAATAAAAAAAACTGAAATTCTAGACAGTGTATATGATCTTTGTTTGATGAACATTTTGAAGGGGTATTTGAACTCGTTTTTACTTGAAAACTTTTCTGGAAATCCGCCTGTATGTCTATTTAATTGTGTCCAGTGAAGGGTCTGCATGTGCACAACAGATTTTAATTGAGTTTCTTATGTTTTACCTTCAGGATTATGATTTAAAGTTTTCGTGGACTGTTAGAGGGTGCTTCTAAGAACATGATTTGATGTATTGATAATCCTAGGATTATACTGTTTTATCTAGGCTTTTTGACCGGATTTTAGATACTTCTTATTTCGTTTGTGCCTAAATTGCAACTTAATTTCATGTATTTTATGTTTTAGGCCAAAACGTGCAGTTAGAGCAAATAATGAGCGGAATTGAGTTTCTGGACCCAGAAGCAAGCAAATCTTAGGATTCCGGGAAGTTCTGAAGCGGATTAGAAGCACTATGAAGCTTGTTCCTATTTGATTGTTGTCTATTGAGAGCCACCAAAGAATGAAAAATTCAAGGCAGGAAACAAGCGAAAAAGGCAGTCTGGATTTCATCATTGTTCAGAAAAGTTCGCCGCGGCGAAGTCTTTCTTCACCGCACGATAATCTCTCAGGGACAGAAAAAAGAATTGTAAAACCAACTAAACTTCTCGCAGCGAAGTCTGCAAAGTTTTCGCTTTTATAAAATATGAGTTTAAGTTTAGGCGAGGCTTAGGTTTTTTGGACCGACAGAAAGGGGGAACGTAGTCATTTTCGTGGGGGTTTGGACATTGTGGAGAAAGAAGAGAGATGAGGATTGCCACTCGTTGGATTCAGAAATAACGACGATTTGTTTTTTTTTATTCCAACATGTGGGAAGCTATTGGTTAAGTTTTAATTTTCGATGTATGGTATTTAGTATGAACTAAACGCACTTTAGGTTCGGGTTTGATGTAATGAGATTTTATGTTTAATCAAGAAAATGTGTTGCCTTTACATTTGATTGCATGGATGGTGATTTATCTGGTTTTATTGAATTACTGTTAGATTATGAGACTGAGAGGTGAATCATGTATTAGCTTCTTACGGTAATGCCATTGTTTATTGAACGCTTAGAGATAGTTTGAGAATCAATGAAATCAATTTGGGATCCATTTAGCTTAAGAACTTGGAACTATTACTAAATTTGGTTGGGCTGTGCGGAAGCTTTAATCGGAAAGAAGAGAACAACATAGCCTAAGAAGAGATGTTTTAACCAATTAGGGAATCCGATTTATAATCGTGAATGAGTTATAGAAATAAACATAATGTGAGTAGATTAAATTCATAAAATCATTGAGTCACAACCCTAACCGTTTGTTTATCGATATTTTCACTTGAATTAGTTTTCATTGTCTAATTTAGTTGTAAGTACGTAGTAACTTTTGTTGTAACTTAGATTGTTTTCTCGCAAATCCAAACATCTTTCGGTTTCTCCAACTGATAAACACGAGAAAATGCAGTGCTTAACAAAGCAATCTTTGGGGGAACAATACCTACTTATCACTTGTATATTTTTTGCGGACTAGTGCATTCCTACAATGCATGTTGTAGAATCAACGCATATTGTCTGAGTATGTTTATGATTGCTAGGACAGCTGAAGGTAATTGTGTTTCCTTGGACTTATCCATTTTGAGGTAAGTAAAGACTTACAAAAGTGTTTACTGAAATTTTTTATAAGATGATGGATGAATTACGACAAATTCAACTTCTAAGGTGATAATGTTGTAATATGTAATAAAAAGAAGATATCAAAAAAATTGAAAAGACTTAGTGGGTACAATATTCTTTTACTTTAAACTTTTTTTCTTTTCTCAAGATTTGGCAAAATGAAGGATTAAGCTAAAAATTAAACAAACCTTCCCCTTAAGACCAGGAAGAAAAAAGAAAAAGACAAAGAGATGAAAAATGATTATTAGCAAGGAAAGTGAATGATATATCGACGAGAGGATTGATAGATTGATACTTGGTCTTGTAAAAGTGGAACATGGAAATTTAGGGTCAAAGAGAAAGTTGTACACTCCTATTACAACTTTGCAAATAGTAACTTAGTTAAATACAATAACACCCTTCATTTCAAATTAAAGTTGTTTGAAAGAAATAAACGTCTTGATATAAATTTGGTCAAGACCATACATATTCATAAATGGATTAATTGTAATGGACTAAAGTATTATTTTATAATCTAGATCCAATGACGTATATGTATAGTCCTTGGATACTTTAAGTTAATTATTCTAGTTGGAAGTAGAATACTTTTGAATTTTGATAATACTTTTGAATTTTGATGATACTTTTTCTTTTTTGTTCCTTTTTCTTGACATTTTAAAAGATGTTTACTGAAAAGTCTGTTTAAATATTACAAACGCATTTAAAAATTTGCGGTTGCTTTCTTTATCTAAAACAATCTTTTGTTTTGGTACGTAGAATAAGAAAAGCACCATACTTTAATTTTTCACCGCAATCTTGTCGAGAATGGTGGGGAGATTTTGACAAAAAAGCTCTATCACATTTCAATGAAGTGACATCATTTTCTCTCTTTATACTATTATCTTTTCTCACCACTAGACGTCTTTGCCATTTAAATTAATTACGAGGCTGAGTAGTTGGCATCTTTTTAGGGATTGAAAATGATGTTCATAAGCTAGTAGCAACTATGGCGTTGGCTCCCCTGTTCAAATTGTATAGCGGGCTGCCTACTTTCCTGTGGATTTTTTTTTTTTTTCGCCCACTATAGTATTATTCCTATTTAAAATGTAGAGTTGGTACACTGATGGTGGTGTAGATTTTTTCCTCCAGTCTTTAGTAGTTTCAGGACAATTTATTAATCACAGCAATTTGATAGCACATTTTTCCTTAATATTGTTGTGAACCTTCAAATCCATGGCTTTATTTCATTCTTTTAGAGTTATTTCTATGGACATCAGGAAATCAGTCCTCATTTTTGAAGGGATTTTTAACTTTTTGGTTTCCGTCAAATACGGTTATTGGATTTTACTATATTTATGATCTTATATATACTGTTGCATATTCAAAATATATACATATACATAGAGCTGCATATTCATCATTGAATACAGGGAGAGACTAAAGAGAAGAGGAGGCGGCTTGTGGTTTGGAGAAGAATTAGGGATTTTTAAAATTACAAACATGTACCCGGTCCACCCGTTTACAAAATAGGTAGCTAGGGTTGGGTATGAGTCCAAAAAGAATAGACCTAATTATGTAAACCTATACCCTACATTATTTATTTGGGTACGGACTGACTCGTAAGTCCAAACCCATTTTATCAGGTCTATATATACACACAACTTGATGTAACACTATTTTCTTTTAATTGTCATACATACATCTTTATCAACTGTATTATTAATTGTTTTAAGTTTAACTTTTCCTTCATTTTGTTTACAATCTATTTGTATGGAGAAATAATTATTATTCTTGAAAAATATAATAATAAGGTGTCTTACAACCAACTGCCAAGTGCCCACAAGATCAACTATGACATATCCAATTTAATTTAACCTTGAAAAAGTTGTAAAAAAGAAAAAGAATCCACTTAAGAATGAAACTATATTTAATCATTCCCAAGGTGCTATCAAATGCAAGGTGATTTAAATTAGAGCTAAAGGGGATCGAAAGTTAATAATAAATATAATTTTTTTTTTTTCGCCATAGTAAAGTTAGATGTTTATGTGGATCCAAGAATCATTTCATAAAGATATGAAATATATTTTTTGCTTCCCTTAAAAAATAACAAGAAATATATATTTGTGTGAGGGAAAAAGATGGAGAAAGATAGTCAAAATCCCATGTGGGAAGCCATGATTAATGTGCCAATCAGTGGACGTTAGGTTTTGACTTTTTAATCTATAGGAGTATTTGTAATGTGTATATTAATAGTTTGAAAACATATATATATATATATATATATATATATATCAAAATATGTAAGGTTGTTGTATAAATTTGTAAGAAATAATTTGTATACGTAATGTTGCTAAATAAAAGAAAAGCTAGGACCCAACCACTGGTTTCGTTTATAAATATGTTATAAATACTTTGTTGTTGAACTGTAGGAACTAGGAAGACTGTTATATGAATACTTTTATGGATTTGTGATTGGTTGGATGATATAAATCAGGAGGTTTGGTTTAAATGTGGGTCTAATGTGAATGTGCATAGGCTAGTCACCAAAAGTCGTTATTGGTTGTCCTCCAGTTTCAACTTTCACAATCAGGATTTCTCCCTTCTCTCCCCAATTCCACAACCTACTATAATTTTACTACACGGAGACATAATAAAAAAAAATAAAAATAAAAATAAAAAATCTAATCAAATAGGTATGGCATCTTCAGTATCTGACTCTCTTCATTCCAGAACGCATCATGCCTAAGAAACAGAAATTAACAGACATGGGTAATTCTGGTTTTGTTTTATCTTTCCTTGTCTCGTTTACGTTCTCTCTTTTACTCTCAGTTTGTGGAGACACAGAGCTGAGAGCTCTTTTAGAGGTAAAAGCGTCTTTGGACCCAGAAAACAAGCTGTTGAAGTCATGGACAGAGAATGGAGATCCATGTAGCGGTTCATTTAAGGGAATAGGATGCAACGAGCATAGGGAAGTGGCAAACATTTCGTTACAGGGAAAGGGTTTAAGTGGCAAGTTATCGCCTGCTTTTTCAAGTCTCAAGTCTTTGTCTGGTCTGTACTTGCATTACAATAATTTGTCTGGAGAGATACCGAAAGAGATTGCCAACCTCACTCACTTAACTGATTTGTATCTGGATGTCAATGATTTATCTGGGAGTATTCCTCCTGAGATTGGGCACATGACCAACTTGCAAGGTTAGTTGATAATAATATTGCTTTTCAACAAATCATTCTTTTTGTTGGTATTTTCTGTATAGATATGAACTGTTACTTGTGCATTAAGTTTAATTTCTTTTCATCTGAAGAGAATTATTTGTGTGGCACAACTATATAAGTCAATGGAGTAAAGAAACTCATGGGGGCTTAGTCGCTTGTGCCAGGCCTGTGGTTTGCTCCCACAAGGCTGGAGTTCAAGCCCCCTTATGGGCACATGAATGATCAAAGACCATTGTTTTCCACCTCCCAAAGATTGTAAGGTTCAGTGGGGGCTCCAGTTTCGAAGCCGAACTTGCGAAAAAATGCCAGGGGATTTTTGGATTTTGAAAAAAAAAAAAAAAATGGAGTAGAGAAAAACTTTTAACTCTCTCTCTCCGCTTGTAAATGTTTTTGATTTCCTGTTTTGGGGATTAATATAATAGGATCAAAGTTAATTTTAGGTTCTGCTGGTCATCATTTGTTTCAAAGCCTAGTTGATAACTCTAGTAGGCAAATGTGATGTTTATGGCTAACAAATATAGTACTTTGTTAGTTTCAGGGCGTAATTTAAATAGACTAGGTAAAATTTGAGTAACATTTCATTGTGGGCCATGAATCTATAGTTCTCTGTTGAAATGATGAAGATATCAAAAATTCAACTTAATGGGATTTCGTGTATTGTAGTTTTACAGCTATGTTGTAACCAGCTGACAGGGAATTTGCCTGCCCAAATACGGTCCTTGAAGAGCCTAAGTGTTCTTACATTGCAGCATAACAGATTAACTGGTGAAATTCCTACAAGTCTGGGGAACTTGGGGATGTTAAGCAGGCTTGATTTGGGCTTCAATAGCTTCTTTGGTCCAATTCCTCGAGGCTTAGCACTTAATCCACGATTGGAAGTGCTAGATGTCCAAAACAATACTCTTACTGGGATTGTCCCTCCTGGTAAGTTTGTTTCTACCATTCTTGCTTATTGGTTGGAAAATTCCTTTTATGATCTCGACTTATTTTAGTTCTTGATAACTGGAAATGAAGGTTTAAAGAGATTAAATGGAAGATTCCAGTGTCAAAACAACCCCGGTTTGTGTGGAGTTGGGTTTGTTTCATTGAGAGTTTGCACTGCTTTTGATAATATGAACATCAACCAGGTTGAGCCCTTCGGATCACATGCAAACAATACAGCTTCCATCGACATCCCTGAGTCTACAAATTACCAGGCACAATGCAATCAAACACATTGCTTAAGATCATCAAAATTACCAAAAGTTTTTATTGTTGCTGGGGTTGTTACAATCACTTTCACATTAGCAGTTACCGGATTTCTGACCCTTTTTCGCTACCGTAGGCAAAAACAAAAGATTGGGAATACGAAAGAGTCTTCTGAAGGTAGACTTAGCACAGATCTGGCTAAGGAGTTGAATGGGAATGGTGCCTCTCCACTTGTGAGTCTTGAATATATTCATGGATGGGACCCCTTGGGTCATGGTCTGCATGGCAGTGGATTCTACCAAGAGCAACTAAATAACTTTAGGTTCAACCTGGAAGAGGTTGAATACGCAACCCAGTGCTTTTCTGAGGTGAACTTATTGGGAAGGAGCAACTTTTCATGTGTTTATAAAGGAATTCTAAGAGGAGGTAGTGTTGTAGCTATTAGAAGCATTAGTGTGACCAGCTGTAAATCTGAGGAGGCTGAATTTGTAAAGGGGTTGAACTTATTGAATTCAATAAGACATGAAAATATTGTTAGGCTGCGAGGCTTTTGTTGCTCAAGGGGCAGAGGAGAATGTTTTCTCATCTATGATTTTATCCCCAAGGGAAAGCTCTCTAGATATCTTGATGTGGATGTTGAAACTGGAAACACTTATGCACTTGACTGGTCCACAAGAGTTTCCATTATCCTTGGCATAGCAAAAGGTCTGTTTGCTTTATTATCATTCACCATACTCTTCAACTGCTACTAGACAGTGTGCATGATGAAGAAATCTTTTAACAACAGTCTGTTTCAATTGATCTCATTATATTTCTTTCCAATCAGGTATTGCATATTTACATGGCAGTGAATTGAACAAGCCTGCCATAGTTCACCGGAACATATCTGTTGAGAAGATTCTCCTTGACCAGCAGTTCAACCCATTGATTGCAGACTGCAGCCTTCATAAACTTCTTGCAGATGACATTGTCTTTTTAGCTCTTAAAACTAGTGCTGCGATGGGATACCTAGCTCCAGAGTATGTTACCACAGGCCATTTTACTGAAAAGAGTGACGTATTTGCATTTGGAGTGATCATCCTCCAAATTCTCTCCAGTAGACTACTGCTCAGCAGCTCTATGCGAGTGGCAGCCGAATCAGGTATATTTGAAAATTTCATCGATAAGAATCTGAAGGGTAATTTTTCAGAGTCAGAGGCAGCTATGTTGGGGAAAATTGCACTGGCTTGCACCCAGGAGCTTCCTGAAAACAGACCTAGCATGGAAGCGGTAGTTGAGGAGTTAACAATTGGAACCGCAGCACCAGTGATGGCCACATTTTTATTCCGCTGTTGATGCATCAGGGAGATGGACCTCACTGAAAGGAGGAGCTCTTGCTAATTGTTTTTCTTTATATCTAGAGCCCACAATGGTTCTAAGGCTTACTGTGAGCTTTAAAAGTTGTTGACTTCTTGTAAATTGAGTTGCTCCACTGAAAATTCGTGGCGGATAAAGTCCTCTTGTGTAGTATTTATTAAATGTAATAACTTTACCTCTGACTTGGTGAAATGCTGGCTAAACATCATGAAGTAAAAGCTGGAGGAAAAGAAAGCTTTATATCTTTTAGATTTTGTTTCATCTCTTAAAGGTGTTTCTCATGTCAGTATAACTTTTGACAGACAAACCATTCAAAATTAAACTCGCTATAGTTTATTTTGAAACATAATCTATAGTAGACCATCTAGGTAACGGCTAAGGAACTAGACCATGTATTTTGAAATGAAACAGAAATGCTCCACCTTCCTGTCCGCTTAGCTACTAATTTCAGCCAACACTTAAATTCTGTTCAAGAAAAACACTATAGCAATTTGCTTCCTGATGGAAAAAATTTGGAGTCTCACAGGAGACATCCTAGGAAGACGCAACTTCAAGGATTAAGCAGAGTCCTACTTTTCTCAACTTTGAATCATCAATTCCAGCTAAAAAGAAGTTTTGATTCATACTAAAAGTAATCGACTGAAGAAACTGAAATTTCTTCTTGGAACTCAACCCACTGCAGACTAAGGGTTATATCAGTTGAATTATTGATATATTTATTGGTTTCTGGCTGTAATTTATCCATGTATCAGAATAACTATGATAGACTTATAATTTTATATTTTTATTATCCTTGCATTTAATTTATTTGGCATGTTTAATATCTTATGGTGCCTATTTGTGATGATTTTTTATGTATAGGGCATTTGCGGTTAGGAGTTAGTAAAATATACCGAAAATCAGAAATTTTCAGCATTTTTACTTTTGGATGTTTTGGGCTATTTACAGATTTTCGAGGACTTAAGAGTTACATTTTCGTTTTTGGACCAGCTATGAAGTTAAAGTAGACATCTTAAGCTTTCCAAGTTGGGGTGGCACGTCCACAGATGACTTTGTTTGGGCCTCCAATTGTTGGTGTATAATCAGAGCTGAAAATTGAAATCGAATCCTAATTGGAGTAGGATTTCTGTCTGACCACAGGAGCTTTAAAAGGGCATAACTGGGGTTTCAGAACTCAAATAAGATGATTCAAAAGCCCAAATTGAAGTACACATCCTGACCTACAATTCTTATGTAGGGGCCGAAGTCCAGAAAGCTCTTTGTCCTGTCCAAAACTGGCCTGGAAGTTACAACTTTAGCCCAGAAGCTTTAATCCTTAGTTGATTTGGATTATTTTTGTATGGCTCGTATAAAGACTTGATCCAACTTCAAGAGGAAGTTCAATACAAGTATGAAGAGCTGAAAATTTGTGTGTATGAGTTGAAATTTCATTTGTACAAATTAAGGGCGGGTTTGAAGAGAGAGAAAGAAGTGTTTTCATAAAAGGGGTTGGTTATTTGCCTTAATTTTAGGGTTGGCTTTTAAAATGGAAGTTTTGATACGTTTCTTTGGGGAAGATAGAAAACAGAACTTTTAGGCGGCTAGGGTTTTAGAGTTGGAGACAGAACGAAATTTGATTTTTCCTTTTCTTTGTGCCTTTCATCTCATCATGCCAGGCTAAATTATTTTGTTCAATTCAAGGAAATACCAATCTGGTTAGCATAATTGTAAGACTTTGTTCTTAATTTTAGTTATTCTTATATTCGTATATCTGTGTTTCTTTGTTTAATTATTATGGTTGCATAATTTAATTGATTAAAGAGGCCTGTTAATTGATTGATTGTGCGATTGATTGCTAAACTGAATTTACAATCCGTAATTGTTATAATATTCAGTTAGAGTAGTAATTAAGTAAAACAATTGTGATCCAAGCTTTTGTTGATTGTTTAAAAGAAACATGAAATGAGTTAAATAATTTGACGCTGGTTCGATTGTTACTCATCTTTAACTACTTTCCTAATTCGTAATGCTATCAGTAAATTCATAAGGATTACGTAATACCAAGTGGTTTATTGAAAATAATTAATTTGTGTGCTGGGCTCAGATTAATGAATGTAGACAAGATAAAGATTGTCTGGTTTCTTGATAATCTTTGGTTAAATATTCAATTAAAGAGTAATATATATTAGAAGTCAGTGATCAATTTGCAACCGTGAGTAATTGTCCTTGAGTCGAAATCTTTTTATTTATTTATTAAATTCTCTTTACTTATTCATGTTGGTAGTAATTCAATAATGCTACGGACACCGAAAAAACTGCACCGAAATCGTGTACCGGCCTACGTGTAACACACCTCTCATTTTTTTTACAATTTTTTTCTAGTAAACGGCCGTCCATCAAATTTGGACGGCCATTCACTCACATGGACGCCCGTCCATATTATATGGACAGACGTCCATATACAAGGGACGGGCGTCCCCATTTAAAGGATGCCCGTCCATAAATAAATTATAAAAATAAAAAAAAAAAAAAACTTTGGGGACAGCCATCCATAAATTATGGACGACCGTCCCTTACATTTGGACGGGCGTCCATACTTTAAAAAAAAAAAAAAAATATTTGGACGGAAATGGACGCCCGTCCATTATTTTAGTCTTCCATGAAAGTAGTCTTTCACTTCTTTTTCCATGAATATTTGTTGAACTGTACTATACTGGCAATGTGTTTGAAAGTCTAAGTCAATGTGTTTGAAATTCTAACCTGTTAAATCAAAATGGATGCAATAAAGTTTCCATGGAGGCAAGTGAAGAAGGTGCAGAACTTCGCCCATCTACTTCTTCGTCTTCATTCACTGTGTTTTTTTCGGGGAGGCAAGAGTTTAAGATTTTCGGGGAAGTCAACAGCGATGAAGAGAATAAGGATAAGCTACAGAACTTCAACCAGGATGCAAACGTACTATACTGGCCGGAGGACGTCAAAAAGTTGGCTGATGATGTGCAGGAGATACTGCATGAGATTGCTATCACTGGAAAGATTTCACAAAAACGTAAGTAATGGACGAGCGTCCATTCCTTACGGACGCCCGTCCCATCCAAAGTTTTTCTTTAATTTGTAGAAACTAAAATAATGGACTGGCGTCCATTTCCGTCCAAACATTTTTTTTTTTTTTTTAAAGTATGGACGGGCGTCCAAACGTAAGGGATGGCCATCCATAATTTATGGACGGCCGTCCCCAAAGTTTTTTTTTTTTTTATTTTCATAATTTATTTATGGACGTGCGTCCTTTAAATAGGACGTCCGTCCCTTGTATATGGACGCCCGTCCATATAATATGGATAGGCGTTCATGTGAGTGAATGGCCGTCCAAATTTGATGGACGGCTGTTCATTAGAAAAAAATTGTAAAAAAAATGAGAGGCGTGTTACACGTAGGCCGGTACACGATTTCGGTGTAATTTTTTCGGTGTCCGTAGCATTATTGGGTAGTAATTAATTTTAGAAGTAAAATTTCCCGCTTTTTATTTCATTAATTCGTTGTGATATTAAGTTGGATAATCTGATTAGCTAGTCCCTATGAATCGACTTGTATTTACTATGATTACAAGCTGTGAGTAGAGTAATTTAATTTTTGGTTGCACTCGGCACGCATCAAACTACAACTCAATATCTCTCAGAAAATCCTCTTTTTATTTATTCATTTAAGCAGGCTACAAATTTTGAAGTGTGTAGTGTGATACTAGCACAGCCAGCGTTTGAACAGCAACATCTGCAGTATTGATACGGTTCGCAGAGAGAACCATTGTCCACAAATAATACAACTCTCTAAGCAACCAGAACCATTATCCTAAAACAAAACAACTCTCTATGCAACCGCACTATCCTGTTGATGCCCTTGAAACCACTCAGTAGGCCACCATTGTGGTCTCATGGCCTCAACCCTCACATTGTCCTGTCCTTGAACGGTCAAGATACCTGATACTTTGAAGGCTTCCTCCAACCGCAAGACACCCGGTCCACTACAGCCCAGAGCGGTTGTTGCCTTTCCAGCCTTCTTGCCAGTTTCCACATTAATTACTTCTGAGCCAGGAGCAACTTTCTGCTCTACTTCTGCCAAACAGAAAAGGAATTGCTTTGACTGTAACAAGATTATGAAATAAGTAACCAGAAATTCAATCAGTAGCCTACCTTTTCCTTTATCATCAAAAGACCTTAAAGGAAGCAAGCGCTTGCGAATAAGCCCCTGGTGGTGTGTTCGAGCAATTAACTCTTGACTGACATAGCAACCTTTATCAAAACTTATTGCATTTAGACCAGAAAGATTGTATTCCAATGGCATTGCCTCTCCTAATTAGAATAAATACAAGTTGGGATACAAAGGTCAGGCAAAAAGATTTAAACATTTCAATAAATGGGTTTGGACAGTTTTATGATATGAAAGAAGAGTCCATGCCAAATTAGAAGAGAGAAAGAGAAGCACTTATGAACCTGAGGCAGATGTTCATGGTTTGGTTTCTGAGCAAAATTAAACCAAATCAAATTTCATTGATTTCTGAAAAACTGAATCCTAACAACAAAAATGTAAATAGAACAGATCCAGCCAAATATTTTCTTGAGTTTGGTTGATGTGCTTGGTTTGAGTTCAACAAAATTCAAATAGCCAAACATTAAATTTAGTGTGTGAATATTAATGACAACTTGATGCTCCACCAATAAATTATGAGTCGTTATTTTATTATTTAGATAATTAATGAACATATTAATATAATCATGTATATGTTGATTAGATGAATTACTTGGCTTTTAAACGTTAAAATCTGCAGCTAAATAAAAACTTACCCTGTTTTTCTAAATTAAAATTGTAACTTAAGATTATAGAAAACAAACTGAAGTGATCAATCTAGTTAGTTTTGACATTTCAATTATTTTGCTAAACACCCTAAGTCCAAGTATACAATCATCGAGAAAACAAAGAGCACCTTTGGGAATTTCAGTTGAACCTTCCGCAACTCCCTTCTCTAATCTCCATAATACGTAATTCTCTTCAGCTGTTTCTTTGTCAGCCTCCACCAAAGGTGCTGCAACAGACAAAAAGAAACGAAGTTTTGCAACTTAATCAATGACAAGGTGTAATAGATGATTACGACATGCTTCTGAGCCTTTCAAATAACATGGTAATATAAATAAAGACGGATCTATGAATCAGATTTTAACACT